GATCTCAGTCAGACTTCTAAGAGCATTGCTGAAACAAAGAGTGAATTATGCGTGGAAGAATCATTGTTCAGAAAATAATACTGCGGAAAAAGTGAAGTTCCACAACACCGAATGTTTTGAATTGCTGTCTTTGGAAATATCTCTTGTGCACAGGAACTATGTTATACATTTTGCAGATTTATTGTGATCCTTTATTTACACAGAATACAAGTATATAATATTGTACAGAAACCCTTTAATGATTAACGCCAGCCATATGTGAGTTTACACAGGTGAGTGTTCTTGTCAATATCTGGATTTACATCATACATTTACCAATACGTACATATTGTTAATATGAAAACATGGGTACATATGGTAAAGAATCCTTTATAATAAGTAACATGTTCTCTTTTAAATAATTTATTTTAAAATTGTGGGATTTAAATGTTTTCAAGCACCATCTGCCTGCAGAAACTTTCATTTCAATTTTCATTCAGACGTTCGTTTGTACTAAATTCTGAAAAATCATTCATCAGAGCATTCAATAATTTCATAGTTGAGCCAACTAATTTTGGTCGAAGGCGTCTAAAAATTTTGCCCAGATCTGCTACTTGAATGAAATCCCAGACATATTAAACAAGGTTCTTTTATTGCCTATGAAGTCAATAAAAGAATAATGCAAAGCAACATTTTTTTAAGTACGTTGCATATTTAGAATATATATACTGCTCAAAAAAATGAAAGGAACACTTTTTAATCAGAGTATAGCATCAAGTCAATTAAACTCCTGGGATATTGATCTGGTCAGTTAAGTAGCAGAGGGGGTTGTTAATCAGTTTCAACTGCTTTGGTGTTAATGAAATTAATGACAGGTGCACTAGATGGGCAACAATGAGATTACCCCCAAAACAGGAATGGTTTTACAGGTGGAGGCCACTGACATTTTTCCCCTACACATCTTTTCTGATTGTTTTCACTAGTTTTGCCTTTGGCTAGGGTCAGTGTCACTGTTGGTAGCATGAGCGATACCTGGACCCTACAGGGGTTGCAAAAGCCGTCCAACTCCTCCAGGATGGCATATAACTACATGTCATTGCCAGAAGGTTTGTTGTTTCTCCCAGCACAGTCTCAAGAGCATGGAGGAGATTCCAGGAGACAGGCAGTTACTCTAGGAGAGGTGGACAAGGCCGTAGAAGGTCCATAACCCATCAGCAGGACTGGTATCTGCTCTTTTGTACAAGGAGGAACAGGATGAGCCCTGCCAGAGCCCTACAAAATGACCTCCAGCAGGCCACTGGTGTTTATGTCTCTGGCCAAACAATCAGAAACAGACTTCATGAGGATAGCCTGAGGTCCCGACGTCCTCTAGTGGGCCCTATGCTCAATGCCCGGCACCATAGAGCTCAACTGGCATTTGCCATTGAACACCAAAATTGGCAGGTCTACCACTGGCACCCTGTGCTTTTCACAGATGAGAGCAGGTTCACCCTGAGCACATGTGACAGATGTGAAAGGGTCTGGAGAAGCCATGGAGAACGTTCTGCTGCCTGTAACATCATTCATCATGACTGTTTTGGTGGTGGGTCAGTGATGGTCTGGGGAGGCATATCCATGGAGGGACACACAGACCTCTATAGACTAGACAATGGCACCCTGACTGCCATTAGGTATCGGGATGAAATCCTTGGACCCATTGTCAGACCCTACGCTGGTGCAGTGGGTCCTGGGTTCCTCCTGGTGCATGACAATGCCTGGCCTCATGTGGAAAGAGTATGCAGGCAGTTCCTGGAGGATGAAGGAATTGATACCATTGAATGGCCCCCACACTCACCTGACCTAAATCCAATAGAACACCTCTGGGATATCATGTTTCGGTCCATCCGATGTCACCAGGTTGCACCCCAGACTATCCAGGAGCTCAGTGATGCCCTGGTCCAGATCTGGGAGGAAATAGCCCAGGACATCATCCATCGTCTCATTAGGAGCCTCCCCCGACGTTGTCAGGCATGCATACAAGAATGTGGGGGCCATACAAACTACTGAGGACCATTCTGAGTTGCTGCAATGAGATTTCAGCCAAATGGACTCGCCTGCTGCATAATTTTTTCACTTTGATCTTTTGGGTGTCTTTGAATTCAGTCTTCTGTATGTTGATCATTTTCATTTCCATCAAACGATGGGGCATCCTTACAATCCTAACATATATTACCCAGTCCATATCAGTCCATGCACGCGCCCTACCCACGCCGCCATTCGCGGCCTCGTCTTTTAATAACCGGCTCCCGGCCGGTGATTACTCGCCGGCACCCGGTGATCGCCAAGTATCTCCAACAGGGGAGAGACCTGTATGTAAACAATACAGATCTCTCCCCTGTCAGCTCCTGCACACTGCTTTGCATGGCTCTGCATAGCAGATCCATACAAAGCAGTGTGCTTACAGTGCAACGCACACACAGCCCCCATAGTGAAACAGCACACAGCACACTGTTAACCCTTTGATCGCCCCAGATGTTAACCCCTTCATGCCCAGTGCCATTAGTACATTGTCAGTGCTTTTATTTGCACTGATCATTGCATTGGTGTCACTGGGGATGTCAGTGACACAAAGTCAGTTCCCCCCCAGTGTCAGAAAACCTGCTGCAGTCTCACAGTCCTGCTGCAGCTATAAGTCGCTGATTGATGCCATTCCTAGTAAAAAAAAAAAGATTCCAGTGTATATACCACCATTTGTAAACACTATAACTTTCACGTAAACCAATTAATTTACATTTATGATGAAATTAGATTTTTTTACATTTTTTACTGGACATGTTTAAAAGCAGAAAGTCAAAAATATTTTTTTTATCAAAATTGTCTTTTTTTATTTATACCGCAAAAAAAAAAAAACACACAGACGTTCAAATACCACCGAAAGAAAGCTCTGCTTGTGGGAAAAAAAAAGGACGTAAATTTCATTTGGATGCAGCATTACATGACCACGCAATTGTCAGTTAAATTAACGCCAAACCGCATCGAAAGAAAATGGCCTGATCAGGAAGGGGGGGTATAAATCCTCTGGAGAGCAAGTAAAGTAAATGAACAGAAGAGAAAGTAAAGAAAAAAATCAATATTTGCTGACACCATCCTTTGCCTTCAAAACTGCATCAATACTCCTGGGTAGACTTGCACACAATTTTTGAAGGAACTCAGCCGGTAGGTTGTTCCAAACATCTCGGAGAACTAACTAGAGATCTGCTGTGGATGTAAAAACACAATCAATAGAGAGAGAGTGCAAACCAACCTAGCGGTTTTCTCTGTGTATACCTCCATTAGATTCAATAGACTGAATCATCAGCAGGTTTTTGATCATGCTAACACAGTCACTATCTGATATACAAGTATAATGTTTTGAAATCTTCCATGGATGTAGGCTGCCTCAAATCCTTCTGTCTCTTTATGTAATCTGATACAGACTCCATGATGTTGTGATCAGGGCTCTGTGGGGGCTAAACCATCACTTCCGGGACTCCTTGTTCTTCTTTACTCTGAATATAATTCTTAAAACCAATGGCTGTATGTTTGGGGTTGTTGTCCTGCTGCAGAATAAATGTGCCAGCATTGAGGACACCATTGATCCTGACCAGGGGCGGACTGACCATTTGGAAACTCGGGCCCTGCCCGAGGTCAGTAGGGGGCCCCATGAGATGCCCCTGGTACCTTTTTCATAGGCTTTTTTGAGTTTGGGCAAGGACACAGGGGCCCATGATCCCCTATTGCCCGGGGGCCACATGAGTTGTCAGTCCGCCCCTGATCCTGACCTAATCTCCAACTCCATTTGCAGAAATGCAGCACCAAACTTGCAGGGAACCTCCACCATGCTTCACTGTTGCCTGAAGACACTCATTATTGTACCCAGGGCTTTTTTTCAACAGGAACGACAGGGGAACGCAGTTCCGGCACCTCCAGCACTGAGTATATGTAATGGCAAGGGGTGCTGCGGTGTGCTGGATCTATTGTTGCTGGCTGCTTGGGGACCTATTGTCACTGAAGGGGATCTATTTTTGTGTGGCGGTCTATTGTTGCTGGTGAGGGATCTACTGTTGATTGGGTCAATTGTTGCTGGAGGGGATCTACTGATGAGAGAGGGGTATGTTGTCTTGTCTATTGTTGCTGGCTGCTGGAGAGTATATTGATGCTGGCTGCTGGGCTTCTATTGGTGCTGGAGTGGTATTTTGTTTTGGGGGACCATTGTTGCTGGGGGAATCTATTGTTGCTGGGGAAGGGGGGTCTATTGCTGCTGGCTGCGGGGATCTATTTTTCTGATTTTCTTGTTATCATTAACAAATTTCATACAAATGATTTAGCACCACAAAATAGTACTTGGCTCTGTATTCTCTAAAGGAGAGGTACTAGGAGGTGGGTAGGAGGTGGAACCAAGTGATTGTGCTCAAAGGTGGGTAGGGGGCAGAGACAAAGAGACTCAGAAGGAGGGAGGTCCTACATCAATTTTTTGAGAAAAAAAAGCCCTGATTGTACCACTTTCCAGCCCGTCAAACTGCCTCCTGCTACAGCCAAATATTTCAAATTTTGACTGATCGATCCAGAGTACCTACTGCCACTTTTCGGCACTCCAGTTCCTATGTTTTAATGCACAGTTGAATTGCTTAGCCTTATTTCCACATCGGAGGTATGGCTTTTTTTTGGCCACAATTCTTCTATGAAGAACACGTCTAGCCAGAGATCACCAGACAGTAGATGGGTGTACCTGGCTCCCAATGGTTCCTGCCAGCTCTGTGCTGATGGCACTGGTGGACATCTTCCAATGTTGAAGGGACGTAAGCATGATGTGTCTTTCTTCTGCTGCATTAAGATTCCTTGGCCGACCACTGCATCTGTGGTTCTCAACGTTGCCAGATCAATGGTGTCCTGAGAAATGCAAGGAGAAACCTATCCATCATGCCATACCATCAGGGAGGAGTGTGACTGGCCCCAAATTTATTCTGCAGCAGGAGAACGATCTCAAACATACAGCCAATATCATTAACAACTACAGTATATTGCCAAAAGTATTGGGACGCCTGCCTTTACACGCACATGAACTTTAATGGCATCCCAGTCTTAGTCCGTAGGGTTCATTACTGAGTTGGCCCACCCTTTGCAGCTATAACAGCTTTAACTCTTCTGGGAAGGCCGTCCGCAAGGTTTAGGAGGGTGTCTATGGGAAGGTTTAACCATTCTTCTAGAAGCACATTTGTGAGGTCAGGCACTGATGTCGGGGGAGGAGGCCTGGCTCACAGTCTCTGCTCTAATTCATCCCAAAGGTGTTCTATTGGGTTGAGGTCAGAATTCTGTGTAGGCCAGTCAAGTTCCTCCACCCCAAACTTGCTCATCCATGTCTTTATGGACCTTGCTTTGTGCACTGGTGCACAGTCATGTTAGAAAAGGAAGGGGCCATCCCCAAACTCTTCCTACAAAGTTGGGAGCATGAAATTGTCTAAAATGTCTTGGTATTCTGGCACAACCACCAAACCCAGACATGGCCATTGGATTGCCAGACAGAGAAGCATGATTCGTCACTGCAGAGAACAAGTCTCCACTGCTGTAAAGTCCAGTGGTGGCGTGCTTTACACCACTGCATCGCACTTGGTGATGTAAGGCTTGGATGCAGCTGTTCGGGCATGGAAACCCATTAACTGAAACTCTCTATGCACTGTTGTTGTGCTAATCTGAAGGCCTGAAGTTTGCAGGTCTATAACTATTGACTCTGCAACAGTTGGTGACTTCGGCGCACTGTGTGCTTCAGCATGCTCTGACCCCGCTCTGTCATTTTACGTGGCCTACTACTTCCTGGCTGAGTTTCTGTTGTTCCCAATTGCTTCTGCTTTGTTATAATACCACTAACAGTTGACCGTGAAAAATTGAATAGCAAGGAAATTTCAGGGATGGACTTACTGCAAAATCCAAGTATACCACATCCACAGCCACTCCTTTGTCCAAGGTTTTGCTTACCTCCTCACAAAAAGAAATCAGATTTGTTTTAAACTTCTGTCTTTCATGAATCCATGCTGTTTGTTGCTTAAAATATTTTTTTACCAGCAAGAACTCATCTATGTGGTCTTTAATTAAACTCTCCAGTATCTTCCCAACTATAGATGTTAAAATAACAGGTCTATTGTTAAAGACTTTGACCCCTTTGTAAATATAGGCACCACATTGGCCTTACACCAATCCAGTGGTACTATGCCATTAAAGAGTCCCTACAAATTAGAAACAATGGCTTTGAAATGACAGAGCTCAGTTCTTTTAGGACCCGTGGGTGTATGCCATCCAGTCCAGGTAATTTATTCATCTTTACTCTGTATAAATATTTCTGGACCATATCAATTTTGAGCCAATGTGTATCATTTGGGGCTATGTCAATATTATCTCCATTAAGGACATGAGCTCCCCCTATGCTTTTTTTGTATACACAGAGCTGAAGAAGGTATTTAACAAATTTGCCTTCTCTTTGTCCCCAGTCACCCACTCTAGATTATTTTGTAAAGGGCCTACATGCTCAGACCTGACCTATTTACTGTTAATACTATATTTGAAGAATTTTTGGGACTTTGTCCTACTATCTTTTGCAATCTGTCGCTCGTTTTGAATAAACTTTTTATATTTTCTGTTATTTTCCTTGTAACAATTAAATGATGATAGTGTTCCTTCATTTTTATATTATTTAAAAGCTCTTTTCTTATTATTTATAGCTTTTTAACTTTGGCCATTAGGTTTTATTTTTAGACTTTTAAACTTGTTGCCCATGGGAATACATTTTGTACAGTGTGTCCGCATGCAGTCTTTTTGAAGGACTCACATTTCTGTGTTGTGTTCATCGATGTCAATATTCCCTTCGAGTGTAAGTCTTGAAGAGCATCCCTCATCTTTGGAAATTTTGCTCTCCTAAAGTTGAGTGTTTTTATTTTTCCAGTATGTGCTTGTTGTTTACAGCTAACATTAAATGAAATCATGTTATGGTCACTGATACCCAGATGTTCTTTTACATGAACATTAGTAATAAGCTCTACATGGCTTGAGGTTACCTAGTCCAGCGGAGCATCATTCCTAGTCGAGGCCTCTTTCTGTGCAAGAAGCTGAGTCTCCACCTCCTCATTAACACTGATTGGCCTATCACCTTGTGGCTGAGTTGCTGTTGTTTCCAGTTGCTTCCACGTTGTTATATTACCACTAACAATGGCCATGGAATATTTAGTGGCAAGGAACTTTCATGAATGGACAAGTGCACAAGTGGCAACCTATCATGCTACCACGCTTGAATTCACTGAGCTCCTGAGAGCGATCCATTCTTTCAGAAATGTTTGTAGAAGCAGTCTGCATGCCTAGGGGCTTGATTTTATACACCTGTGGCCATGGAGGTGATTGGAACACCTGAATCCAATGATTCGGAGGGGTGTCCCAATACTTTTGGCAATATAGTGTATCTTCAGCGTAAAGAAGAACAAGGAGTACTGAAAGTGATGATTTGGCCCACGTGGAGTCCTGATCTCAACATACACTACCCACAGCACCCTGACTCAGAGCAAACCAGAAAAATTTGCTGTAAATTCTGACTTGCGCTAATTTGTAGATTTGCATAAGAATCCAATGAAGGGCGAGTGACTCCATCGCTAGGTTTTGCAATTGATGTGATGGTTTGATGGAGTTAAAAATTCTGCTAAGGTTACATACAGTAATCATTGAAGTTTCAAAAAGATATATGAAATCATGGGTTTGAGCTTGCCAGAAACCACAAAAGACCGAAATTAGTTTTGGGTCTTAAATCAGATTGGTATATTATATGTCTCTTAGCTAGTGAGATCTGTGGGGATGTCTGCCAAGGAAATATTGGATAGAAGGATGGATAGAATGAAATGTACATTCTAAAACAATTACTCACAGCATGAATCAGAATCAATGTCTGACACAGAACAATTACAGAATGATACATTCTTAACCTGTGCGATCCTTGATAAGTATACAACCTTATGTCTGGACCTGCACCGATTTCTTCCTGCTGGCGGGGATTGTATTGTGAATATATGCAATTAACTCCTAGGTGGTAAGATTTTCTTTGAACAGCTGCTAGATGAAACAATGAAAGCTGAAAAAAAAAAAGCATTTACACTGACATCTTCAAACAGAAAACAAATGGAATAATCCACCCAAGCTGTGCAAAGAGTGAAGATGGTTCAAAGTGCCTAACCCAAAGAAATCCAATAGACTTCACCTCTTGTACTGTACAAACTCTTAAAGATTGTCGATTGCACTCTTTAGAATGTCACTACCTACATGACTCCACATGACAACTGTTGATGCAGGTGACAGAATCATGTACCTGTTGTAGACAGATTATTATGAGCCTGAGGCATGCCCTCAATATGGAGGTATCCTGAGGATGGAATGTCCAATGAGGTTCCTCCATGCTACTATACCTGTCACCAGCATGGTGGAGGATGAGCTATGTAAGGGGGGGAAACCGAGCAAAGAGCGAAGATGGTTCAAAGTTCCTGACCCAAAGAAACCCAATAGACTTTACATCTTGCATTGTACACACTCAGGGGAATTCTTAAAGATTGTCGATGACACTCTTTAGAATATCACTACCTACATGACTCCAAATGACAACTATTGGTGCAGGTGGCAGAATCATGTACCTGTTGTAGACAGGTTATTATGAGCCTGAGGCATGCCCTCAATATGGAGGTATCCTGAGGATGGAATGTCCAATGAGCTTCCTCCAGGCTACTGTACCTGTCCCCAGCATGGTGGAGGATGAGCTATGTAAGGGGGGGGGAAACTGAGCAAAGAGTGAAGATGGTTCAAAGTGCCTAACCCAAAGAAACCCAATAGACTTCACCTCTTGTACTGTACAAACTCAGGGGAATTCTTAAAGATTGTCGATGACACTCTTTAGAATATCACTACCTACATGACTCCAAATGACAACTATTGGTGCAGGTGGCAGAATCATGTACCTGTTGTAGACAGGTTATTATGAGCCTGAGGCATGCCCTCAATATGGAGGTATCCTGAGGATGGAATGTCCAATGAGCTTCCTCCATGCTACTGTACCTGTTATCAGCATGCTGGAAGATGAGCTATGTAAGGGGGGGAAACCGAGCATGATGGGGAATCACAGACATTAGTTCCCCATCAGGTCTGCTCCCCTTGTGATTGACAGCAGGCAGTAAGTGGATCGTTAACCAATATTGGCTTTAGAATTCGCCCACTGCCTGCAGTCAATTATAAGGCCTCATGCATACTGGACCTTTGCAGCTGCTTTTCTGGGAGTCAGACATTTTTTTTCTTACCTCTCAACACCCCTGCCTGCTAGCCCACACATAGGCTTTTATCAGCGTTTAGAGGCTTGTAAATGTGTATAAACCCATGTTGATGCATCTAAACAGTTGTTCCCGTTAGGTACATTTAGGTCTTGAGTGTTAATTCATTTAATTGGCCAAAATAAATTATTATTCTGGCCAATGAAATGAATAAATGTCCAAGTGCTGGAAGCCCTTAAACACACCTTAACACGTTACCCACTTTTACCAGCATCAGGCGTTTTTATCTGCCAAAACGCTGCTGTCAAAACGACCTTTATGCACGAGGCCTTAGGCAAAAGCAGACCTGATGGGGAACTAGTGTATCAGCTTTCCTATCAGGCTCCATCCACTGCACTGCAACTGATTGCTGCAACTGACAGCATCCTTAACAACTTAACATGCCACCTGCTTCACAGCATACAGGGATAGGCACTCTGTCTGTCTCTGTACGCCAACTCCTAGATTGTAAGCTCTAACGAGCCGGGCCCTCTGTTTCCTCTTGTACCAAATTGTATTGTAACTGTAATGTCTACCTTCATTCTGTAAAGTGCTGCGCAAACTGTTGGCACTATGTAAATCCTGTATAATAATAATAACTTAGAGTAGGTCTTAATTACCTCCAGTTTCTAGTGCATTAAAGTTGAAGTACAGCCAAAGCTGTTTTGTCTGTACTTCTGCTGTGGATCACAGGAGTGCACTTTGTTCTGCACTCTTGTGACCCATTCTCAGCTGACATCAGGCTGAAGCCTGCTGTCAGCTGACGACACT